CCCCCCCCACTCTCTCTGAAACAATGGAAAAATAACATGGGGTAAGGATTTTTTTTTAAAAGAAACTGCACCTTGGCCTGTCTGCCTTGACCAAGCACTTCAGCCAAGGTCACCCTTGCCATCCCCTCAGAAAAGCCCCTCTGACAGAGTCATCTGCCCCGAGGGTCAACCTAGGCAGAACTGGGCCCACACAGAAGCCAGGAGGTCACCTTGAATCTCAGGGCCACCAAAGGAGGCTCTTCTGTCTATCTTTCATCAAAACTCACCTCAGAGCTGCTCAAGGAAGGAGAACAGGGCTGGGGCGGGGGTTGCTGGGACTAGGAGTGAAGGAAGCCACATCCACTCCTGCACACGCTGGATCCACAGGGACCTCCCACTGCAGGAGAGAGAGGTGCCGTGGTGGTTGTTTATGGAGAAACTATTTGTGCTGAATGAAAGCTAATAGCCCCCAACACGTGAGCTAGTCCCACCCCTTACCAAAGTTGGAGCTGGTGGGGTTGGGGTGGAACCCTCCACTAAGGACAGAGCCTGGCCAGGTGAGGAGCACAGAGCAGGTGGGAAGACCACACATGCTAATCCCAGAGAAGTTACCCCAGAGAAGTTATCCCAGCAGGAGTCAGAAACCCCTGTTGTGAGGAGTATGCCCTGATCAGTGGGCAGGGGTTTAATATGAGCCTTCTCTTGAGCCCTAGATACAGGTTCAGGGTGGTTGCATGCAGGGTGATCACACTGTCACATGCATAAATACATGGAGAGACAGGGCGCACAGGCACAAATCCACGAATCTCTCAGTCTTGGCAAGAAAGCGCAGCCATGGTGGCTGGGTCCTCAGAGCTTCCAAGTCAACCCCACAGGGTCAGGGCTCCTGAAGCAGAAGCCAGCCAGAGTCAGCATTTCCTGTTCTTTACAGGTGCTTAAGGTCACCTGGCCCAGGGCTGCAGCTCAGCTCACAGGTGGAAGCAGAATAGTCTTTTCAACCTTGCAGGAGGACTATTTGCAAAGTCACCAAGCTACAGCTTCCATCTGCAGAATGGGTGGGGTGGGGGCACTTCTCCTGTGACCACAGCAGGGAGACGCCCCCACTAGTGTCCCGCAGCCCAGATGGCTCTCACAGCTTCACTCAAGCAGGCCCCGCTGAGCCCCACCTCACACCCCAGCTCCAAAGGTGAGACTGTCCTCTGATTTGGCACCGGAAGCTCAGGCCTCCCCTGTAGACACCTGGAGGCTTGGAAATGAAGCAGAGAGTCAGTCACTGCAGGTGCAGAGCAAAACCCATCCCAACTGCCACCCTCTCAAGACCACCAAGACCTAAAGAGGGCACAGTATCCTGCCAGCAGCACAGTTGCTGACCTCTGATTTCAAGCAAAGGAGAGACTGTGAGGGAGAGAGCCCCAGGCGGGCACAGGGACCCCCAGGCGGGAACCCCTGGCATCAAGCAATCAAGAACAGATGCACAGGGCTGCTTCGCAAATGACGGACAGAGCAGCTTACAGTCATCCTGCCGTCTCCCCGCGCCCACCCCAGCCAGCCCCACACACTTGGCCACGTCTGCAGCACAAGAGTTCACTGCTCTTCTGGAGGGAAAAGGCTCCCTGAGGAGTGGCTGGAAGGAAGCAGAAGTGGGGGGCAATGAGGCGGCACCAGAGTGAGGCTCAGGCAAGTCCATGTCAGCAGCTCCCAGCTAAGGGCAAGTCCCACTGCCCTCATGCAGACAGCACAGCACAGGGACACACGGCTGTACACACTGCTGTACACGGCCAGGTGTGTGCCGCCCGGAGCACGCAGGGTGCAGCTGAGCGGCCATGGAGTCCCATGAACCGTGGGTGTGTCTGCAGGAGCTGTGGCCAGGCACACTCAGTGGTGAGCTCATGCACACTCACACCCTGCACCAGGACAGGATTGGTGTGACTCGGGCCACGGGCAGCCCTGAAGCTCTGACCTGTCGCATGACGTCACCAGGCCTCTGGGCCACAGGAAAGCCTCCAGAGGCTGGTGACGCTCAGGGCTCAGGTTGTGCGTCAGCCTAGAGAGCAGTGACCTGGGTGAGCTCCGTGTTGGGCGTCGATGGGCTCTGTGGGCTGACAGGCGCCATGGGCAGGTCCACGCCTAGTCATGCCGGCCGCGGCACTGTCTCGGAGGTCCTGCGGGCGAGGGCCACATCCCTGGCCACGCGGCGCAGGCCGGGTGGCGGGCCCTCGCGGCGCAGGCCGGGCGCGCAGCAGAACCTGCGGAAGCAGGCCTTGAAGTTCTCGTCTAGGAAGGCGTAGAGCACGGGGTTCAGGCAGCTGTTGACATAGCCGAGGGCCGTGCAGAAACGCAGGACGGCCACCGCCGTCTCGCTGCCCGGCTGGACCCCCAGCCCTTGGACCAGCACGAAGACCTGGACAGGCGTCCAGCAGCCCACGAACACGGCCACCACCACCAGCACCAGCCGCGTGATGCGCCGCAGGTTCCGGTCTTTCTCTCGGGAGCCCGAGAGCAGGCGGACGCCTCGCAGCCGCCGGATCATGAGGCTGTAGCAGACCGAGATGATGAGCACTGGGATGATGAAGGAGAAGAGGAAGACACAGACAGCAAACAGGGGGCCCCAGTAGTCCTGCGGGGTGGGGATCTCCACCAGGCACTCGATCTCTGGGGGGAGAGAAGAAGGGTCAGGTGGAGCAGGGGAGCAGGGCCCCGGGGAGGAGAGGCCCCCAACCGACCTTCATCCTCAACCTGTGCTGAGCCCATGATGGCCACGGGGATGCCGATGACAGAGGCCAGGGCCCAGATGGCCACATTGACAGCCTGGGCCTTGCTGGACGTCCGGACATCGAGCGCGCGGATGGGGTGGCAAATGGCTACATAGCGGTCCACGCTCATGGCGGTCAGCGTGAAGGTGCTGGTGAACATGTTGTAATAGTCGATGGCAATGACTATCTTGCACAGAGCATTCCCAAACGGCCAGAAGCCCAGGAGGACATCTGTGCCCTGGAAGGGCAGTGTCAGCAGCACCAAGGTATCTGCCAGGGCCAGGTTAAAGATGTAAATGTTGGTAGCTGTCTTCATCTTGGTGTGTCTGCAGGGAGTACAGAGAGGGGACAAGGAGAGCTTCATTTGGCCACTGGCTGGACCTGGGAGCAAAGCCACCATGACGGGCACCCACTCTGAGACCCTTGTTCGAGTGCAGGCTCCCGGGTACTGCGCCTGGGGGAAAACATTTTAACAAGATTCAAGTACTTCTGGAACACACAAGAGGGCTCCAAGCCTAGAACAGGTCTGCTTTGGAAAAGTGAGGGGTAGCAGAGTACACCTGACTCTGCATGCAGCAAAGGGTGGGAATCGTGAGAGAAAGAGCCTGGCCTCCTCCCTTGGGGTTTCCCCCCAGGCCCTTCGTGGATGAAAATGCTGTCCCTACAACTGCCAGAGTCCCCCAGGGCTTCAGGTCTGAAAGAGCACCTCAGAGGCCTCCCAGGCCACATTGTTGTCCAGCCATGGAGACCAGAAATGGTGACAGTGATGGGAGTGGTGCTAACAAGGTTGGTTGTATCTAAGCACCTGGAATAGGGCTGGGGAAACTGTGGGTGTTCCAGAAATATTTGTTGAATGAAGCAATAGTTGTGATAGTGGTGGTGGAAGTCATGGTGATGGCGGTGGAGGTGGCAATGGTGTTGGCAGAGGCAACACCAGAGATGAGAATGACCGCGTCATGAGGGAATTACCAGGTTTACTTCCGACTCTTAAGGAGGGATTAAGGATCAGCACAGAGCCCTGGCCAGTGTGGCTCCGCGGTTAGAGCGTCAGCCCACAGACTGAAGGGTCCCGGGTTCGGCTCCGGCCAAGGGCACGCACCCTGGTTGCAGGCTCGATCCCCGGCCCTCCTGAGCCCGTGCGGGAGGCAGCCCACGTCTCTCTCGTCCACTCTCTGAAACACAGTGGGAGATACGCACTCGGGCAAGGATTAAGAAAAGCCGCAGGGAGCCTGGCTTATGACCCAGTAACAGGGATAAAGGCAGATTCCTGAGTCAAGCTCTTCACATGGATTTTATCCTATTTAAGTTTGCAAAAATGTTAATTTGATCCCCACTCTATGCAGAAGGACACTCGGGCTCACAGGACCTAAGTGTCTTCTGAAGGCCACCGAGCTGGTAAACAACTGAGAGGGCCAAGGGAACAGGAAGACCAGCCACAGACAGGAGAGAAAATTTGCCAAAGATACAAGACTGTTATCCAGATGCAAAAAGCTAATACTCAGCAATAAGAACACAAACAACTGGTTAAGGAATGGGCCAAGGCCCTCGCAGACCCCTCACCAAAGATGCACAGGTGGCAACTCAGCAAATGCAAAGACGCTCCACATCCCATGTCATCAGGCAAATTAAACGACAATGAGACTCCCCTGCACACCTATCAGAACGGCCACAATCCAGAGCGCTGACAACACCAAGTGCTGGCGAGGCCGCGGAGCAGCGGGAAGGCTCCGTCACTGCTGGTGGGAACGCAGACGGTGCGGCCACTTTGGAAGACAGCTTGGTGGTTTCTCACAAAAGTAAATACTCGTAGGATCCAGCTGTCATGCTCCCTGGTGTTTACCCCAAGGAGCTGTAGGCTGGTGTCCCCACAGGAACCTGCACATGGATGTTTATTGTCGTTTTATTCAGAATTAGCAACACTTGGAGACAACTAAGACGTCCTTCAGCAGGTGGATGGATAAGTCAACTGCGGTCCATCTGGCCAGTGGGATGTTACTCAGCACTAAGGAGAAATGAACTGCCCTGGCAAGGCAGCTCAGTCGGTTTAAGCGTCATCCCAATACACCAAGGTTACAGGTTCAGTCTTCAGTCAGGGCGCACACAAGAATCAACCAATGAATGCATGAATAGGTGGAGCAACAAATCGATGTTTCTCTCTCTCCCCCTTTCCTCCTTCCTCTCTCTAAAATCAATAAAAATAAATGAGCTAACAAGCCATGAAAAGACATGGAGAAACTTAAATGCATATGACTAAGTGACAGAAGCCCATCTGAAAGGAACACACTGTGTGACTCCAACATGTGACATTCTGAAAAAGGCGACGCTTTGGGGACAGCCGACAGATCCGTGCTGGGGGCTGGGGAGGAGGTTGAACAGGTGGGGCACAGAGGGCTCGGGGCAGTGGGACTGCTCTGAGTGACGCTGTCATGGTGGACATGTCATTACACATTTCACCAGGCCCACAGAATGTGCAACCCTGAGAGTGACCTGGTGGAGTCTGGGTGATTATGATGTGTCAAAATAAGTTCATTAACTGTAAAAATTGTACTCTTTTGCCTGGTGGCTCAGCAGCTGAGCATCGACCTAGGATCCAGGCGATCAGGGTTCGATTCCCGGTCAAGGCACATGCCCGGGTTACAGGCTCCAACCCCAGTTGGGGGGCATACAGGAGGCAGCCGATCAATGACTCTCTCATCATTGATGTTTCTGTCTCTCCCTCTCCTTCTCCTTTCCTCTCTCTGAAATCAATAAAGATATATATATTTTTTAAAAATTGTAATGTTTTGGTAGGGCATTGGTAATGGAGAATATGGTCCATGCGTGCAGGTAGGAGGCATGCAGGACATCTCTGTGCCTTCCTCTCAATTTTGCTATGAACCTAAAATTGCTCTAAAAAAGTAGTCTTTTAAAAAGAGACAGGCTTAGAACTGGGGTCAGCACTGGGAAGGGGGCAACTGCTCCTCCCATCCCCTTGTGTGAGCATGCACACCAACATAACACCATGCACACATGCATGTGCACACTTGAACATACATGTACATGATTGGTTACATGTGTGCATTGTGTGCATGTTTGACCGTGCATGTGCATGCTTGCACACACTTCTATATACTAGCACATGGATGTGCTCATTTGCATGCATGTGTGCATGGTCGCAACATACAGGTACATGCTTGGATACACATGTGCACACTGGTACATATATTTACACACTTGCATTTGTGCACGAGTGCATGTGAATGTGTTATGTGTGCACATGCATGTATGCTGTATGGTACACACTCACAGGTACATGCACACACTTGTATATGCACATACTCACATGTTCCTGTCCCACTACAATGTCCCTCCATGCTAACCCCACACTGTCCCCACCCTGTCCTTGCATGCTGTCCTTCCACATTGTTCCCATACTCTCCCACGCTGTGCCTCCACTGTCCCCACACCCTCCCCCACACTGTCCCTAGGATGTGTGGGGATGTGTGGGGCCCTCGTAGCCTGGCCACCCCTCTGGGCCCCACAGGTTTTGCATTCTGAGCACCCACAGGTGCTGGAGGAGGCCCAACACCAGCAATGAACAGGAGCCTGGGATAGACTGACAAGAGCTGCCTTTGAGGTCACTGTAGGACCTGTGAGACCCTCCTGGCTGGAAGCCTGGCCTGTGGCTCAGACCAGGGAACATCATATGTCAGGAGTCAGGGTGATACTTTGTCTGGGGCAGAACAAGGCTGGTCCCCTCTCCTCCCTCTCTACCTAGTCCAGTGCCCCCACCCTGAGGAGTTGAGCATCCAGGGCCTAAGGACTGACCATAGTCCATGACAGGACAATCAGCCACCTGCCAGGCCCACAGAATAGCCCCTGTCTCAGTTTCCCCTCTGCAGCAGCATGGGATTCACCAGTCAGGGACTTCAGCAGGGCCCAGCTTACCTGAGGATGACATACATGACGAGGCAGTTCCCCAGCAGCCCCCCGATGCACACAGCCAAGTAGAGCCCCACAATCGTGACCTTGAGCCCAAGGGGCAGGAAGGCCCCATGGCTGACATTGAGTAGCAGGTCAGGGGGCAGCAAACTGTGGTTGGGGCTCACGAGGTTGTCCTGCAGGTCACTGCTGTAGATCACCCAGGGTGGGGTGGGGAAGAGGCACTCCATGCTGCTGGCCTGCGTGTGAAGCGACTTGGCACCTGGGAGGGCACAGGGACACACAGCACCTGACGCCCACCTGGCTGAGGCCTCCAGCACCATGTGCATGGCCCAGCAGGCCCCCATGGGCAGTACAGTCCCAGAGGCACATGCATGCACAAAGGGACACAGGCACACACATGTGCATACACAGGGACGCATAAAGCACAGAGCCATGCTTGCCTACACAGGGACACGCAGGCACACAAGCATGCACTCAAGGGACACAAGCACACAGACAGACATGAAGCACAGCCGGGGACACGCACAGACCATGAGTGCACACACAAGGGCGCAGGCATTTGGCCAGGAGACTCCCCCACGGGATGTGCGGATGTAGCTGCACACCGGGACGTGTCCACCCACAGGGACTCGGGCACATGCAGCTGCCCATGTGCTTACAAGCACGGGGACACGTGTGCGCGCACACGCACACACATACACACGCACACAGATGCCCAAACCTGCCGTCATGCACACACGGGCACAGAAGGGACCGAGACGTGCCCAGAAATACCTGATACAGGACACGAGGTGGCCGAGCAGGCTTCCTCCTGCCCCTCCCTGAGACCTGCAGGCTGGCTGCAGGTCGCCCCGCACCCAACGCCCAGCAGCTCAGGCCTGACCTCGGCACCTCCGGGGGGCTGGGGCCGTGGAGACCCCAACCCTCGGCCCACGAGCGGAGGAGGCTGGGAGCTCCTGCCCCGTCGGCACCGGGTCCGGACGCGGCTGCAGCAGCGGCAGCCGCTCGTCCTCGGGAAGCGCCGGACCAGACGCAGCGGCTCGCGCACGGAGCTGGGGGAGGGGAGCAGACTGCGGCT